GAGTTCGTCAACAGGATTGTCAAGGCTATTACTTCCTCAGCCGGCATTGACCACCGTCTGATCACGCCATACCATCCGAGAGCCAACGGCGCTGCCGAAAGAACAGTTCGCACCGCCAAGCACCTTATCCTCAAGCTAATTCGAGGCATCAAGAAGGACTGGTCGCTCTTCGTTCCCTTCACGCAGTTCTGCATCAACTCCAAGATCGCTCCAAGGACCAAGACTGCTCCATTTGCTGCCATGTTCGGGAGAGCACCCAACGCCCTCGATGACCACTCGTCTGTCGAGCAGGCAACCCCGAACGCTGAAAACATGGCCAAGCATGCCGCCTTCATGCAGCAAGTCCTCTTCCCTGCCATCCACGAAGCAGCAGAAACCGTCACTGCAGCTCTCAAGCAACGCTTCGACAAACTACACCGCGTCGTCTACATCCCTCGTAACACCTACGTCATGGTTGTGGATAAGGTGCGCGCATCCAAGTCCGATCCTGCGAACGAGGGTCCGTTCAAGGTTCTCCGCCGCACTCAAGGTGGGAGCTACGAGCTGCAAGACTTGGATGGCGAGACTCTCTCTCGCAGGTATCCTCCGCGCGACCTCATCCCCATCTCCAGCAGCGACATCTTCACCGAGGAATCGTTCGAGGTAGACAAGATCATCAAGCACCGCAAGGACAATAATGGCGAGTTCGAATACAAGGTGCGCTGGAAGGGCTACGCTCCATCTGACGACACTTGGGAGCCCTTCGCCAACTTCAACTCGGTCACTCCTATTGACAAGTACTGGACTAGCCTCAGCAAGAATGCAGCCTAGTTCCAATGTGGAGGGGGGGTGATGTTGCGGATCCAGGTCCCCAACATGTGCACTGACGCCACCTTTCTCCATCACCCTTATGCAGCCAAGTCTCTCTGCTTACTAATTATCCCCTCATCCTTTACCTCTCTTCTACTATTTAACCCGGCCATTGTCTGGCTTTCCCTAGTTTTCTTTAGGACAGTTTCCATTATCACTTAAACAAGCTTCATAGTCACCAACCGCCTGAAGAGTCATTACAGTATTTAAGGGTGCGTGTGGTGATGCAGCTGGGATCTGTGAATGGCTAGGTGCAGGTGTAGAGACAAGGGTGGACCTGAAGGTGCAGGGATGTGGATGGCTTCCTGTTGCTGCTGCCGATCTTGCTGGCGTGCCATGCGGTGAAGCATTCCCAGTGTTGGCGAGTTGAAAAAGCACAGTATGCCACTTGGTTTCTTGTCTGGAAAATGCACGCGCCTGGCAAAACTACTCTTCGGCGTTTCAATATATTCCTGGTACACAAGATATCTACGAGAAAATGGTGTGGTTTCGCTTAGTACTTGTTTATGCGCCGCTTGGGTGGAAGGGTGTCTTCCGGCCGCGGCTTTGCACCCAACCCAAGTAAGCTCGGCCTTGGTGCGTTGGACACAGAATCCGGGTCAATCTTGCTCTTGTACTTGCCAATTGTCTCGCCCTCTCGCCACCCCATGCCGCGCAGCATTGCAGCACCAAACTCCTCAATGGGCACTCTCTCGTAAGCATCGTCGCCTGCCTCGTCGGAGCACTCATCGATGTCTTCCTCATATGCCCTCCGCTCGCGATCTGCCAGTGATCCGCCTGTGCTGCCACTGCCTTGGTTTGACAGTGGGATCACCAGGTTGCTGGAGCCACTGGATCCCGCATTGGTTAGCTCGTTGATTGCCTCTTCGCGTATGGATAGTGGCTGAGATTTTGGTGGTGAGGCTTCAGACAGCTCTTGTGGCCGACTAGAGTTTGTTTGTGGGCTGCGCGCAGACTCTTTATTCCCCCGCTTTGCCACTTTTTGTAGGCCGTATGACTCGCTCGTCGACACGTTGCTTAGCACTGATACACTGCTTTCTGTCTCTTCTGTTCCGGTGTCCTTTGCATTGCGCTTTTTATTCGTGCGATTGTTTTTCTCCATCCAGTTAGCATTCCTTCTTGCCGGGATCACCAATGGCCCACGAGACTCTTCCTCTCCCAGGCCAACGATTCTGTCGCCGTCTTGCGGACCAACGATCAGCATCTTAGTGCCCACCGCGCCTGCCTTTGCTTTGTCGGCTGTAGTTTCGAATGCCTTCACCTTGGGCTGCGAAGACACTGCGGGTTTGCGCGGTGCACTGGCGATCTTGAACCCTTTGAACTCGCCTGTTGCTGCTCCTGCCGCTGCGTGTTTGCTGGGCTCATTGGATTCTGGAGCTGCCTTCAGCCCCAAAGGCTTCTTGACGGGGTTTGTGCCCAGTCTGTTTTTCCGCATTTGCTATGGATATGACGCGATTATGTAATGCTTAGCAAAAGCAGGGTTGGAGAACGAGCGAGCGAGTGTGGGTGCAGCAAGAATATCCAGGAAAAGTACATCCGTGCCAGAATTTCTCTGGCCCTTTTCCAGGGCTTGTGTGCAAAGGCCAAGATCGACGCGTTTTGCGACATGTAACGTGACCGGCAGTTGAAATTAGTACCAAACAGATTGCCCTCACTGGTGGCCCATTTCCACTACTCCGGGCGATTGCCAGCCCTGTAGGTGCAGTATAATTACAGCCCTTTGCAGCAGGCGAATTGGATACTGCTCTTGAAGCACCAACACCCACACACAAGGCGCCCATGTGGTGGGACGCAATTATCGTAAGCCTAGCTGATTTCCACCACCGCTCCTGTTCTCGCCGAAAATGAAGGCGCGTATGCAGACTGCCACCTACATCGGAACACCGCCATGCACCCCTCGACTCGGTCTTGTTTTGGCATTGAGGTGAATGGGAAAGCAATGTATTTGTAGCCAGGCCAGGTACCAGGAGGCACCCTTCCCTCTCCCGTTTACGCTGACTACCCACTACATGCCTTTTTTCTCCATACAAAACCACATCTTTCTGGTCTTTACGCCTCTCCGCTTGTTCGCAAACCGCCTCGCAAACCCCAGGGCATCTCTATAAACCCGACGCTGTAGTAGCCACACCCTTGCCTGAATTAACTCATAGCATAACAATGGCACACTCACCGTCAACGGCTAGAAACCAGTTCACCAAGACCGTCTGCCCGCAGACCACCCCACTGTCGGTTTTGGATACGCAGACGTCGTTCGCCAACATTCCCTACATTTTCTTCTACGGGAACGACAATGCCTCGGCCAACTTTATGCCGTCTGACAAACTGCAGGACGCGTTTTACAAGGCACTTGAGGAATTTCCAGTGCTCGCAGGCATTATCCACACCAGCAAGGACGGCCAGCCTGCCGTCATTGTGGATAAGGACAATCTGAACATGCCCGAGTACAAGGAGTCGTCGAGTGACGTGCATTTCAACGACATAAGAGAGGCAGGGTTTGATTGGAGTCAGTGGCCTGAAGGTGTGTGCACTACGGGGTCGATTGCTATGCCAGGGGACGATGGCAAGATCAAGCTGGCCAACGTCCACATCGTGAGACTCAAGGAGAACAGCGGCGTCATTGTGTTTTTGAATATCCCACACTATGTTGTCGATGGAGTCGGATACTTTGCCTTTGTCAATCGTTGGGCGCAGCTATGCAAACAAGGCTCCAGCAGGGCAGAAGAAGCTGCGGGCTTTGTCGTGGACCGCTCGCTGATCGTAAGCAGCCTGCCTGCGCAGCGGAAGCCACTTGATGATGTCATCCTGAGCATCTATGGAACCCCTAGCCTCTTTGCTGCATGGCTGGCATGGCTGTCACCCAACATGCGTGGCCGTGTGCTCAACAAGGCCTCCACAATGGTGGACTCTCAGACACGCCTGTTCCACATATCCAGTGGTATGCTCGACCAAATGCGCAGTTCAGTCAGACCGTTTGTTCCTGAAGAGATTCGTGTATCCGACAACGATTTGGTCGTGGCACTGGTTGCCAGGACTATTGCGCAGGCGCAGAATGCAAATGCTTTGGCGAATAGCACTAAGGGCTGGCGTAGCTGGTTGCCGCTGAAGTGGTTTTCGCAGACAATCTCGGCCATTTCGAGCAGGGTTTTCGGCGCCTCTTCAAGTGCCACAGCGGCCCAGACAGTTTCCCTAGTCGTGGATATCCGGCATCGACTAGGCATCTCGAATGCAAACTACACGGGCAATGCGCTTATGTCACAGGCTTTCAACACGCCTCTGGACCACATGGAAGCGCCAACTAATCCGGAGAACTTGGCCGAGATGGTGGCAAAGGTCAGGCGCACTGTGGACAACATCGATGCGCCGCTAATCCACGAGTTCATCGACATGATCAACTCCCAGCCCTCCTGCTTCACTCGCCCCATGACGTTCGCGGCCACGCACCCGGCATCGCTCCTGTTCTCCAACCAGACGAGGTTCAGGATGTATGAGGCCGACTTTGGAGACGGAAAGCCCGCCTGGGTGTCCCTGCCACCTAAATTCGGCGTGAACATTGTCGCACTCATGCCCTGCCGCGACAAAGACGGCGTCAACATCTACATGACAACAACCACACCCGACATGGAGCATATTCTTCTAGACACGTACTGGTGTCATGTCGCAATTGGTCTCCTTCCAAGACCTACGGATTGAGTATCTAAACAGTGATCGTTCCCGCAGATCAGTTTTGCTGAGGATAAGCATCATTGATACGGTGAGAACCGCATATAAAAGCGCTATCTGGCCTGGCTGCTGGAGAAAAAGGATCTTTTAGGACAAGGAGTTCATTTTATAGAGAGAACTTGGATAAACGCGTTAGAATTTAATGGCTATTTAGTGAAACCTGCTTTCGGGCTATACACGCCTAGTGTTGTTAGAGTATATGGCAGGGTGGCCGTGTAGACTGCAAGGGTGTGCTTGTAAATAGATGCATTGCTAACAAGGAAACCACTACTCTACTGCGGCGGCCTCCCTGCTTTCATGCCAGGAGAACTTCTGCGCCTTGGCGGACTCCCAAAGGGGAGAGCCAGCTCAGCGGCTCACTTCAATACTGGAGCAGCGTCAGTGAAGTGGCCCACTAGCAGCAGCAAATAAAAATGAAGGCAAAAAGAATCAGCCCTGGGTGGGGATCGAACCCACAACCTTGTCCTTAGGAGGGACACGCTCTTCCATTGAGCCACCAAGGCAACCAAACAAGCTGATCTCTTGTGATCTTCTGATTCTCGACGCCATATGACAGAATTTTCTGGAGGAACATATTTCATTTTGTCTGCCTTGCGATCCATGTGTTCCGAGTGCCTCAGCACTGAATCTGCCACCACAACGCATGGCAAGTTATGCAAGTATGCTCTGCTGAGCTACTAAGGTGGTTGTATGAGTGTATTCTGTCCAATACTCCGATTCAGAACTCAGTTTACGTGTTTTGCAAAGATGCACGATTTGTTTCATCGGAATGCACATCTCTTGTTATTCTTTCAAGTGGTGCTGGCTTGGAGTCAACTAGCAACAAGAGCAGAACAGCAATTGCGGTGGTAGTAACGCATGTCCACATGCATATCCATGTGCACTCTAGAGGATTGTTAGCACCTAGGACCAGGATGGCGCATGAAGCAGCATCTGTGTCAGCGCATCTGGTACCAAGTCCAGATGTGTGCTGAAATATGACCCAAAAGAGGAAAAATAGCACGGCCAATCACAGGCACTAGTTTCATTTATGCTGTTGAAAATTTTTCGCTTTCTCATTTCCTTTGCTTTCCACCCACACGCCTGCTTGCATTTCTCTTACGCTACCGCTCAATCTTGCCCGCTTTTCTAAATTGCTCTAATAGTAAAATGAACGCTAGAGACGTTGTTTTTGTGGATGGCGAGACCTCATCCCAGGTCGAGGAGTTCCTCCGTTACATTGCCGAGCTAAAGTCCGTGGAGAACGTCGATTCGTATGTCGCCAATCTGAAGGACGCCAAGGTCGCCGACATTCTCAATGAGTCAAAGGAGGTCCTGGCGCGTTCGCCCGAGAAGAAAGTGGAGGCCGTTTACAACCAGCTGTTCGCCATCGTGCTTACGCAGTCCACAGACAGCTCGTCGGATGACTCGGTGGCTGAAATTGTGAAGGATCTCGAGGCTAATGTGGAGAACGGCGCCGTTGGGCTCAAGGTTTTGAACAACCTGTATAACTTGCTGCCGTCGACTGATATCAGGCGCCAGGTGTTTGAGGCCATTGTGAGGGTTGCGGCAAAGACTAGTCTGCTGGCGACTATTCTGCCCCTTATTTCGCGCCTCCCCAAGATGTTCGAGGAGTGGAGTGTCGAGGAACAGACCAAGGCCCAGGTTCTCCTGCTTGTGAGGGACTCGCTGGACAAGGCGCAATTTACGAGCGAGGCGTATGAGACTGAGCTTGTGTTCCTCCAGTCCATTAGCGCTGAGGCTAGCCAGACCAAGGAGGTTGCTACCTCGGCAATCGTGCACTTTGTCAACCTTACCGCCGTCTGCGATTTGGATGCCCTGGCCAGCCAGCCAGCCGTCCAGACCCTGAACAAGGAGCAGAAGCTCGGTGATGCCGGTGTTTTGCTCGAGGCCCTCTTGTCGAGCGACTACAAGGCGTGGAAGCAGTTTGCCCAAGACAAGGCAGCTGTGCTGGCTTCGCTGGGCGTGGATGCCGAGAAGGCGAGCGATAAGGTGCGGCTCCTCACTGTTGCCTCGCTGGCGGCCGAGAGCTTGGGCCAGGACGTGCCCTTCGCTGCCGTGGCACAAGCGATCGAGGTCGACGAGGACGAGGTCGAGGTGTGGATCATCGATGTTATTCGCGCAGGACTTATCCAGGGCAAGATGAACCAGGTCACGAGGACAGTGCTCCCGACAAGGTCCACCTACCGCACGTTTGGCGAGGACCAGTGGAAGCTCTTGGCCAGCAGGCTCGACATGTGGAAGGAGTCCCTGGAGAAGCTGCAGCCAGTCATTGCGAATGCCAAGCTGGTTGCCCAGCAGCAGGCCATGCAGATGGCTGGGCAGGCACGTGTCACTATCAAGGAGTAAAAAACATGGTAGTTTCTTGCTACCTCCGCCATCTCCTAAAAACAACGAAATAAACCAACATCTTTTCTTCGCTAACCAGCAGCAAGCGGTGCAGCCTTGGCGTGGGGGAACCGTGGCAATTGTGTATGCGCATGTGGAGGCACTTGATTGATCAAGCGCTGGTTGTTTGCGTGACGAAATAGGCGTCCACAGCTCAGCACTTTCTTCTCTCCTACATGGCCCATTTCTTGTTTTATTCTTGCTTGGTTTAAATGCCGATTTCCTTTATAGGCAGCCTTGTACTTTTAGTAAATGAGCAGCGAGCAAAAGAAGCCAAATGACAGCCGCATCGACCAGGACAGAAGGAGGGCGACAGTGCCGGTAGAGAACCCAGCCGTGCGCGCATATTCTTGCGACATGCTGCTTCAGTAAGTCCCCAATTAGACTAGGCATTCCTCTCGTTCTAGCGTGTGTTATGTGATGTCGGTGCTCAGGAGATATAGTGTCTCTGTGGTTGTGTGTGTGTGTGCGTGTCGTAGGCTGTGCACGCTGGAAGGGGTGTTGATCGAAAAGCGAGGCGACGTGAGGCGGATAAAGGAGCTTGTGCACGCGGCTGCGAGGAGGAAGCAGCGAATATCAGAGATGGTACGTGCAAATGTAAGGCATTGGCACGGGCAAAGTAGAGCACACGTTGGAGTTGTAGGCTGATTGCAAGGTCTCATCTTTCTGGGCTGTCTGGTGGCATGTTTGCTCGGTAGAGACAGCAAGTTGAAGCGAAAGCAGCACATGTCGAACAGCAGAAGCAGCAGTTGGTAGCACAAACGCGGAAGGTTGAGGAGGGTAAGGGACTATAAATGTCGTAGATGATCGGGCTTGGGCAGCCTCTCGCGCATGCATGAAGCTAAATGCAGGACCTGTTGCAACGTGTTTTCTGTTTTAGCATCAAATTTCACAGAGGAGTTGCGTGAACAGAAGCAGTGGCACGAGAGCCAGTCACAAGCAGTGAGTACTGGGCTTGCTTTGGTGCCAGAGGCTATCAGCACGGCAATGGTCAAGCTGAAGCAGGACCGCATAATCTCGGAGGACTTGCGTGCGATGCTGGCTAGGCGGCGAGCCGTGTTTGCACAGCAGCTCGTTGAGATCTTCCCTATCGAAATGGTCTCGGGTGAGCTAGCAGAGGATGAGCGGTTGAGGTGGTCGATATGTGGGCTACGGATCAGGAACCCGGACAAAGTCACAGGTACGCGAATATGCATGTGAAAAGTGAAGGGAGGTAGGCTTTGCAAAAGCTGTAGTCTAATGCCGATGGCGTTTTTTGTGTGTGTGATATGGTGATGTAGGGTGGGAGGCAAACGAGGAGACGGCGGCTGCTCTGGGCTTGGTGGTCCGGTTGCTGGACGCTATTTCGCGGTACAACAATATTGCGTTGCGGTTCCCTGTGGTGCCTCTGGGATCGCGTTCGGTGGTGTGCAATCCAGTGGCCAAGGCGTTCTCGATACAAACGTATGTTCGCCCCAGATAGAACAAAACCAGTTTGCTCTGGTGCTGCTGAGCTGTTACTTATTACGTCACATCCACTTTTGCTGGGTTTTTTTTCTTTTTGTAGAGAGTGGCCACTGTTTATGCTCAAGGCGTCTGACCGGCCACGGCTGCACACGGGAATACGGCTTCTGGAAACCAATGTGGAGCAGCTCCTGTGCCAGCTCGGTGTGCAAGATGTGGATCGCAAGCAGATGCTGCCGAACTTGGTTCAGCTGCTGATGACCATCGAGGGGTGCTCATTTGCGCGGTAAGACAAAATCGGTGCCTGGGTTTACATGCGAACCGGATAAGCCGCGTAAAAGCCCTCCCTGGTTGTCGCCCTTGATTCACGCAGCTCGCTTTTCTTTTGTTTGTTCTTGTTTATAAACGTCTTATTTACTTTTAATTAAATAGCAAGCTCAAACCCACACCAACGGCAAATGGAGCCAGTAGAGGAGGGCCACTGCATGCCGCAAATTGGCAGACATTTGCGGCATGATTCGGAGAGCAGCTTGTCAAGCTTGTCCAGCTTGTCCAGCTTGTCCAGTATATCCAGTATATCCAGTATATCCAGCTGCGACGCGTATCTGGAAACACTCGGCGCTGGCGACGAACACAAAGAAAAGCCGCCCGCAGACCTCCCAGCTGCAGAGAAGGAGGAAGAGACACTCAGCAGCGCTAGCAATATGGCTGATTTGGCCACGCTCACGGATCAAGACGAAGAGCAGGTGTTGGTAGCAGGCACAGTGGAACCCCTGGGGCTGGGGACGGACTATGTGGGCTTGGAGCAGCTGGGAAGGGAGCCATGGGCAGAGAGTGAAGGCTTGGTGAAGGAGGTGGCGGTTGCGTGGGCGCATGGAAAGTGTGATGCGGGTGCGTTTGCACAAGAGGAGCTGCTGCTTGTGTGTCACGTTGCTAGAATGACGCCTGTGGAGCTGGGTCGGTTGGTGGGGTTGCACGTAAAGGCCAGCTTACAAAGGGCTAGCGATAGTAGCAGCGGGGGTGGCCCGTCGATGTGGCGCATCGTTGGCGATTCGAAGATTGCTCATGCACGTGATGGTTCCGGAAACGCACTTATTCTGGAAAGACTCGTCGCTGCTATTCCCAGGTACTTGTTGCTGTGCCAAAAACAACAACAGCAGCCAGCACCAAACTCGGCTTTAGCGATGGACCACCGGCAGAAGAGCCTGATGGCAAAACTGATCAAGCCCTCGTTCGACAGTATGCACAGCAGAATGGGCGCCGACATAGCTGACTACATGGCCATGGTGGATCCATTGCCCGTCCTCTGTGCGTTCCACCTCGTTTTTGGACACGCGCCTGTGGCAAGGAGCCAGCTCGAGGAGTTTGGCATGTCGTGGAATGAGGCCATGGGCAGGATGGTGCAGCGTGTCGTGCGTGCAAAGGCAGCCAGAGAGGTGAGACCTGAGCGGCTGTCGTCGAGACCCATCAAGCGGCCCATCAACTACCATGAGCTTGCCAACCCGATCGCGTTGAGTGCATTTGAGCCAGTAGAACAAAAATCCAGATCGAAACCAACGCCAAAGAAACAAAAGGCCATGCAGACAAAGAGCCCAGTAGCGGTTTCACCATCTCGTGCAGCAGTCAGCGCCAAAAGTTTGATTGCAAAGGAGAATGCGACGGTGCGCGTCAG